ATGACGAAAAAAGTGACGATGACGAAACTGGGGTCGGGGGGAATTGCGAAGCAGTGATGACGCGTGCGGCAACGAGCCAAGGGACCGAAGGCTCTAAAAGGCCAGAGGCAGGATTTTGAAAATGCTTATTTTTAAAAGGCCTCCCCTCAGAATTAGGAGTACTATGGAATTGCAAAAGCTTACCGGCCTCCCAAATTATATCCTGCGGTCCCTGGTCTTCATCCTGATGTACACAGACTGAAGAAACCTTCTTGCATTCTCGCAGCCAGTATCGGAACAGAGGATAAACTTGTAGAGGAAGGCAGCAAGGAAACTCCCCGCGAAAGGAACTAAAAGTGGCACCTAACAGAAGGAACTTTTACGTTAGTCATCATAACACGCCTTTTCCAAAGACAAGCAAGCTTGCCCCCTATTTAGTCTTCTTCATGCCAGAAAGGGGAGCAGGTGAGATACAAAATCTATCCGCACTTGACACGAGGGATTAACTACATGTGAGCAGAGCACACACTTCAATTTGTGTCTCTCTGAAAACACGGAAAAAATATCATTTTCGGAAAGATTACCGGAAACTCCTCCAAACTATATTATCTATATTATTCCTTTAGTATAAAAATAGATAAAATTACAAATAATACGTAAGGTTTAACAAATACTACAAAATCAGGTTATCGCTTACGCAACAATCCGTAGGAAATAGGTCCACACGGTAGCCCAGTTATTGTAGGTTTATGATGTTATACTATAATGTTACGTTTATGCAACTAATAACGTGCGCATTTGCACATGTTATGGAAAGGCATTCGTATAAAGGTTGATTTGCGATTGAAGCATGACTTTATCTTTGTTTTATTGTTCGGATCATGGAAATTCCGAAATGTTTACTTGCTTGACCAGTTGAGCTAACATTTGCCTGAAAGCCACTTTCGGCACACAAAAGTAGTGACGCACATATGTCATTCTAGGTCATACAATTTTGCTGTTACAATAGGTTTTCCTTCCACACTGCATTTTGTTATGTCCGAAAGCAGAGTAAATAAATTTGTTATTAGCGAGAAATTGCAATTGGTCCGAACTGTCTAAAGGGAACCGTAATTTCTCATGACTGATTTTGAACAATCGCTTATGCTTTTCACTATGGTCAGCTAACGGTAATTTCTCACAGATTAAAATTTAATATATTTTCCCGAAGGTAACAAAAAAGACCTAATTGAAGATGCTACAAATACTTTTGATACCTCAGAGTTAACTGAAAATACCATCGTTGGTGCTGAGGGGTCAAAGTTATCTGCCCAAACTTTTAAGGTAAACTGTTTTTGTTCGGCAGTTGAAAGGAAACAAAAATTAGAGCTTAATATTGCGCATAAGAAAACGCGAGGTAAAAATAATTTGTTACTTATTCGCAGATAAATGTGGTAACTTCGGCCTCATATAATGCAATAATCAACGGGAACTTCATTGCATAACACGGTATTCTATTCGGTCCAGTCAAGCATAATGCTTTGCCCATGATGTGGTTGGGAATTTTGGGGATAAGTAAAAGTAAAATTTAATTTAATTAAATTTAAACTTTACATTTAAAACGTGCCGAAGATCTCCAGCAGTTGAACCGATTGACTTTTAAAAGTTTAAGATTACTTAGAGTAATATACCATATCCGCCTGACATACAGCGTGTAGTTGGCGGAATCCTACTTCATAATAGGCGCATTGCTCATAATCGTAGAGTTCAGTAGCTTCTGTTCAAATGCATGCCCGATACCCATGTGGCGTTTTTCATAACAGTGGAATTTAAGTAAGTGCATCGGTAAAGCTCCCCGCTGTACATTCAGACAGCAACCAACACCTAAACTGACAGTCTTTTGAGGAATACGTGAAAGATCCAGAGTGAGTTATGGTAAGGCCACAGCGATCAAGCTGTGACAGTGTAATCAAAAAGATGAAGACAAATAATATAACTAAGTAACCACAACTTTCGTATTTTACAGTATGTTAGAAGTCCACAGGAGAATTTACTGGCAGTTCAGAGGCTTGTCAGTTAAACTTAAAGTAAGGGTAGGTCTACGACTTCGTAGAACTTAAAGGAATTTGTTCAAAAAACAACAAAAGGGGGCAACAGAATAGTTAAAACAGTGGTGATTTAAATGCCGGTCAAATTAAGCAGTTAGGTATAACCTTTTAAGAGCCATGGCTCCTAATTGCCTTTGCAGCATCCGTTTTCGGCTGTATTAGAAAAATAACGAACCGTTTGACAAAGAGAAAATCTAAGAATCAGCTAAACTGATGCAGCAAGCTTTTCAAGAATGTGGCAATTAATTTGCTTTGAGGAGACTATTCACGCCTAACAAATAAATAGCATTTTGTAGAACGTACATGCCTCCTACAAACTGGTCTCCAAAACATTTGCGCTGAAACCTATCCACTCATCAAGGTGTACAGTTAGTATTTTATTGCCCTACATTATGTTAAACAGATGGGCAAGACTACCCTCTGACGCTCAGACTTATCTCTTTTTTAGGAGTTGATACACTCAAACGATAATTAGCTCATAAATTACTGGAAGATTGCAGTGTCACTAGACACAACAGATGATGAAGTTGTAGTGTGTGGGTATTCTTCGCCGCCATTATGGTCTGCTCAAAGCCCAGACCGGACAGACTTGGGGTCTAAATCTGAGCTCAGTTGCTCATTGAACGCTGAGTGCTGATCCACTATCGGCTCACTATCAGACATCCAAAAGGAAATGGAAGGAGAGTCTCTCAATCTGGATTAATGGCAGGACATCACACTGAAGTTTTAGTTTCGTTATGAAAGGCTGGTCTACAGCTATAGCGGGCGGTCCCACGGTGACGAGCAATTTGCGACCAATTCACAGTCCCGAAAAGGTGACAGGCGAAATTTTTTCGCAATTGTACAACATTAATGTTTTCTCATTCAATACTTTATTTTTTTATAGTTCTACCTGAAGAGACATATGTTAACAAGGAACCTAGTGAGGTAGCTTAAAAACACTTCTTATAAGAGTTTAAATGCCTGCCTAGGGAAATTTTGTCACAGAAAAAAATACTACAGTCTTGAAAATATATGCGAGTTCTCTTATTCTGAGTAACCCATGAAATTTCTCACAAATCCGATTTGACGATTTAAGGATAAGTGATGAGTCCGAATAACTAAATCTTCAAAAGAAAGATGTTATCTGTCATCTAATGGCCTCACTACAGATGAGGTATCTGAGATGTCTAGTTGCTAGCGGAGTGGGATAATGTTAAGGTTCGATGCGGGATTGAGTGTTGGGGTCAGCTTTGTGGCCAAAGCTAGGGTTAAAATTGGGGATACGAGAATATGTACATTATCTGGAATTTAGCGCTAGACCACCTGTAATACGGGAGTTTTCGTTCTCCTTTCAAAAAATACTTCATAAATTTCTGATGCAGACGTCCAATTCTCATTCACAGTTTTTCACTGCCGACGAAACCTGCTAGTTGCGTCACCGTAGAAGCACACTACATAGACTTAATAAGTTTCAAAGTTTCAAAATAATATTAAGCAAGCTTAAAAACACTTGCACGACATAATTCAAACGAAGAATGCCAAATAAACATAAAACTAATTGGAAGCTGATCAAATATCGCAGTAGTGACTTACCATAAATTTTCGATAGGCATTCAAGATAGTTGCGGGGCCAAAAACAATGGCAGGATTTAAACTGCACGGATATTCTGGACCCTAAAAGGCAGGAAGATTTTAGTATATCAACTTCCGTCTGAGCAGAAAAAGTTGAAGCTTTCGCCGGCAGATTCTTTCTTTTTACCTTGGATCACATTAAAAGGCAGAAGTCGAATAGCCTTCTTTTCACACTTTTTGTGCATTTTCAAGTTCTTAAGTATAAATGCATAACTCTGTTTTGGGAGTTTAGTTTGAGGAAGTTCTGTATGGCTTTCGGGCTAAATACCATTGACCTTGTTTATACAGTAGATTTATTATCTCATGAAATGTTCATTCATAATACAGCGTATTCAATAATTTAGTAGTATTGTCTCTAAAGTGGATAGCATGATCTATAGCCAAAATTTTGTGAGAACTATGTACCGTCTCTCTCTTCCACTTTCTCCCAGCTTACAGGAATGTGATTTTCCTTAAAATGTATACAGTATGTAGTCGAGAGATCTTCAATCCAAGTGTAACGGTCGGTAGGATTTAAGCAATTTAGAATTGTTTTAAAGGTATAAAATACTATTTATTGGAGTATAAACATTTTAAGAGGTGTAATTTGCTACCAAATGAGTACAAGAAATAATACATTAGTACATATTTTCTACTAAATATTTCAGACTCTAAGAGCATGGGATCTCGACGAGAAAATGTATACTACTTAAGTAGCACGTGTTTGCATGGTATGCTTGTTAAAGGCGGTCAGAATGAAGTTCTTTCAAAAGCTAGCATCTTAGCGTGACTGACGTGACGAAAATATCTCAGGATTGTACCGCACGATAACCCATACCCCAATCCAACTTAATTAATTTGTTCGAATGGAAAACGCATTTCACAATTTCGGTTGAAATTTAATGTTATAGGGAATGTACTCTACATTGACAAATGTCTTATACGATAAATACTCTATGAGTAATTGAAAGTAAGATTTGCTCTGACAAGAGTTTAGTTAATTATTAGCCAGTTTTAAGTAAAAAAATCGATCAGACTATAGCGCTCATGATAAACTGAACTGCATCTTTTGAAAAGCAGTATGATTTTAAAACTTTCTGCCATTTCAGAAAAAAACACCGTTCGTTATAAACGTTTAAAAGGGGGGAATCAGAGCCAAAATGCAACGATGCTTTGGGTCGAGCGTCTAGCAAGTGTTCTTTTCTACTAACTGTCCAGCAAAAGAGGAAGGACTGTGCCCACCCAATGTGCTGGACGTTTACGACTCTCACAAAGCCAGACCATATCGATGCTTCCGCAGGGTGTGCAAAATTGGCCAGCTGGCACTAAAACGCACTTCGGTCAAGGTAAGAGTTCGTTTTCGAACCAAAGCGCCACGCGATGCGTCACATGCCTCCTGGTGAGAAATTTTGCTCCAAAACTCGCAGGCGGCGTGAAGATGCCCTTTAAAGTAGTAACGTGAGAGCACAACTTAACCCTTTTCAAATATTAGAGCTGTCTCTTCTATTTATTTTTTTTAATTTCAGGCAAAATGAAAAGGAAATACCAGATGCGGGCAAAGTGGGCCCCTGTAGAAAGTCACGTTGAAGTAGCCTTCACCGGCTAATCCGGATTTGAGAAAGACGTAACTGGCGTAGGGGTGGAATTGGTTGGTGAAGGCTAACAGGCAGGAAACTACCATTTTGCAGTCTGCATACGTGGGTGGAGCCAGTTGTCTCATAGAACGTATCCAACGTGCGTTTCTAGGAATTTCATCGCATGCTAAGCCTAGTAGGCTACCCACCGACTCATTACTTCTCGTTGTTTGGCTTCAGGTGAACGTGGCTTGCTCACATTATATTTCGAATGATGCTACGACCATCTCATCCGACCAAAGCGCCATGGCTTACTGTGACTCGATTAACTAAATCCACATCACCCTAGAAACACACGAGTCGCTCATGGGAAACCCTAGTTGCATGTATTCGTATCGACATAATCACACCGATCGCATTTGGCAACAAATAACAACTTCAGTAATGCCCATCTGCTTATGTATTATCCTCACCTGCTTAAAACTACTTTTACCGAATTAATCAGAATAATGTTAACTTTCGATAGTCCTTGAATGTGAAACAACGTCATTTTAAAATAAAGTTTTAGGAAGAAGAAAATTGGGCCATTAAAAAATCTTGAATTCGAGGCTTCCTGGAAAGTCCTCCAAAGGTTCATAAGCACAGTAACTCTACTTAAATTCCAGCCCAGTTCCTCCACATGTACTTTATTAGCTTAGAAATGTTCTTCATTGGTTACCTGGAATACAGCAAGTACTATTGCAGCAAATATAATTAGCGGAGCATTAGGGATTTATAGAATAGATAAAAACAGGTTTTTTCTAATTCACATGCACTTATGAACTTTGGGATGACAAGGTAATCCGCACGGCCAAGTTCTATTTTTGAGGAAAAAAGCTGATATCTAAAAATACTTGGAAAAAACTAGTTTTTCTTAGATCCTCCTATAAGTGCATAAGATTTTACACAAGCATAAGAATTATTCTAGAGAAAATGTCCTACTTAAAAGAAGAATGTTGTGGAAATAGAGTCCAAGTAATGATTGAAAAGACCCTTACCCGGAGGAAAAAAATGCCTAAATTCACGAAGTAACTTAACATGTTGTGTCCTGTATAACAGGCTCATAAGCGCACTTGTCTTTCTCTATTTTAAAAGAGACCCAATAAGTATGGTTAGGTTTAGTATGCCTTTTGATGCATACTACTTACGCCTTTGGACATGTAACTGGTTAAACAGATAAATTAGCAGCCCAGTTGCCAACTCAGCGTTATTTTGTATTGTACATGCTTGCTGGTAATTGCAGGTGAATTCCAGATCAGTGAAAATATGTTCAAGAATTTCTGTTAATTGTATAGGCACACACAATAAAAATAAGTAGCATTTGGTCACTCCCAAAAATCCCAATGAAACTTCGATTTCGCAAAATATTGGGTCAATAGCATTACGCGTTCAGCACAATCGTGCTTACATAGATGTTCTTCGTCTTAGTGAAACAAAAACGCCCTCAAAGCGAACAGAACTGAGACAGAGTAGTAGTGTTGCTGCTTGTAAAAAGACTCACGAGTTAAAACTTTGCTGAGGATGACTTGTATGACCGCCTTACCAGTATCCAGGAAGAGGAAACGCCCGTAAGGTATGTGGCTTTTCGCCAAATTCTGGGAGAATTAAGTCTAGGAGTAAGGCGACGGTTAGGGTATAAGGTTAAAGTTAAAGTCAGTCTTGGAGTTAGGGTCAGGATTATGTTAAGGATTATGGTTTGGCTTGGTGTTTGCTGTAGGATTTAGGTTTAGGGCAGGGTTAGGTTTACAATTAAGGTTACAGCTCAGTTTTATGTTAGGGTAAGTGTTATGATTCAGAGGGGAAAAGATATACCCTTCCTGGAATTCATCCCAAAGCCACCTAGTTTAAATTTGCGGGACGTTCCTCTGCCCTGTTTAGACGACCATACAGGTCCTCCATACCTTACGATTTTATTGTGACTTATGCTTGTTACAACAAGTTACTATTTTTTATTTAATTCCCTTACATAAAAACCACCGCAAATTGCCCATTACAGATTTGGATTTGGAAGTGTTGTTAAGGCCTTCAGACGGGAAGTAGTATATAGAGACTCACAAACTTGTACTCAGGCTTTAACTTTTCTGCTACTACCGTTTGCATTTTTATATTTCTGAAAAAATTACCAATGTACTTCCCAGTAGCATCGACATCAGCCCAATTGACAGGCCTCTTTGGTTACCGTCAGCCATCCAAGAGTCAGGTCTTTTATTATCCCCACCCGAGAGAACGTTGAGGAGGAACATTGTACTTGCAGACAGCTCACTTATGATTTGAGTTTTATCAGCATTACCGAATTCAACGGTGTGATTTCCTAGACGGCTCATGGAGGTTTCATTCATAGCGAATGCCAAAGCGGTTCCCGCGCAGGCACCAGCCAGCTGACTCGACCAATACAGGGGCAAGTACATTGGGGAAAGTGTCCGACAGAGGGTCATGGTCAACGTTACTGCCGGGTTGACATGACCGCCACTGACTGGTCCAGAAAGCCACGTGCCCATGATGAGAGCCAGAGGACCCATCAAGGCGGACGGTAGGTCGCCGGTGATTGCAGCATGTGTTTTGGTCCGAACACAGACAAAAGAAAGGAGACCTGTTCCGAGCAACTCAGCCAACCAGATGCGAAGTATCCTCCATGTGCGAGTGACAATCGATTGTCTTTCACTCTGATTCACGGGGTCTACTTTCTCCGCTACAGCATCTGTCTGTGTGCCAGCATCTTTTTGTTGGGGAAACTGGGTCCTTGGTAATAATGGCGGTCTTGCAACTGACGACGGCCTTAAAAATACAAGCATAAGGCTCGGCGGTATAAAGTGCTCAGAGTTGTGATACAGGTCGGCTGAAGTACTTGCACTCGCGAGTTAAAGGGCGCAGCCATGAAGTTACTGCGTTATTTGCAATCTAATTGGCTCACGTGAGCCAACGAGAGTAAAAGTTTCACGAATAGGCCCATCACCTCATGCGCGTCCTTGCAGCACTTACTGAAAGTGGCCAATTTGCGGACAAGAATTCTGGTGGTTTAAAAATTCTTAAAGCATCCCGTTTGAAGAAACCAGGAAATAGGCACACAAAAAGCCCTCACCGTGGTTCCTCAACTACCTTCTAACACTATCAAAATGAAGCATACACAGACGAGTCCAATTAATATAACCGATCCATGTGGAAAACAGCAAAGTTGCAATTAAAACTTAAAATGTAATTGATTAATAAGAAATGCAAAAAGGGAGCAGGAGTTATTGAATCTAAATGGGCAGCTGAATCCGATCCAAAGGTCAATGAATCATCGCAAAAAAGCCAGCTCAGTGACATAGTTGAGGATAGCTGAAGGAAATAGGCCCATGCTCTGAAAAAGAAGATCCGGTTGTTTTCTTAAGTCAAAGCTAACCTTGGAAATGCAAAGCATCTGCTAGGTAACGTGGTATTTAATATGTTTGTGCGGGAAACCGCGTTCAAAGAGCTGTTTTGGGGTCAACGAAAGGTCAACAATCTGGAAAGTGTTCCAAAGTGGGGGGATTGAGAATTTCATCTCCGTATTTTAAAAGATATTAGAAAATTTAATCAGCTCAGCATTCCGATAACATCTGCAACTGCTTTATATGCCTGATTTAGAAAGTACAAGTAATTCCATGTTAACAGTTTACCTCTAAAGTAAACGCAACCACAAGGGATTTTAGTAGGGGCTTTTGACAAATGGGAGTAATTCCTTGGACCCAATTTTGACCCACTTGTTGTGAAAAAGCGAGTTTTTTGAAATTAAGTGGTCCTCCAATTTTCCCAAAACATGACTATCCTTAATTCAAACGCGAAATTCTGCAGAAAATTTTTTTTAAAGAAAATCAGCTGGTGTATTCAGTGAGGAGGTGGAAACCTTCTATTTATTTCAAAAATTGTTTGGAGAATATGAGTAAGTTGGACAGGTACAAAAACTCATAATCCGTAAACAACAAACATTTAGAGTGTTCCTATTGCAGATTGCCCAGCTGAAGACTATTACCGTGCCCATGCGCAGTAACATCGTATAATAATATACATTCTACGTTCTGTTAATGTGCAGTTATCGGTTTTGCATTAGTTCCATTACAGTATGTACATAGCTCTGTTTATTACAGTTCTTAGTGACAGCAGCAGGAATATCACCAAATGTATTTACCTGGCGGTGTCGCCTGGTTCGGCTTTTAAAACGTATTTTGTTCCCTTTAAGTCATACATTGGCAAAGACAGAACCAACGGGACTTCCCATGACCGTCCCGTTCATCTGTCAGAAGAATTCTCCTTCAAGGGTTGCAGATATCAAGGAATTGTAGGTGAAGAAATGCGCACCAAACACATATATTGTTCAGTCAGGGATCCACTCGTAGTGTCCCCTGGAGCGACCACGCGATAAATGCAATGGACCACCATGCGGGGTAGATCAGAGCACGACAAGTGTTTTTTGGTGGCGCGCACACATACTAGTTGATACCCCACATGGGAGAGGGGGTTTTGCGAGGTACACCTAGGTGCGGATTCCCACCACGCCAGCCAAATGCGCCCGCCTCCGGTCCTTTTAAGTTAGTCATGATACCGGGTCAAGGTGGGTAAGAAGGAGGGATTGCGGTACATGCTGCGCAAGTCTACAATCAATAAATAAACTGCTCTTTCACAAATGTGATTTAAGTATATCGTCTGTTTTCGAGGTTTGTAAGTATCTTCTAGGGTGTTCGGTTTACTCGTCTCCGGTGTCTTAAGTATAACTTTCCAAAATCAATTAGGTTACATTTCAACACCGATAGGATAGAAACCCCATTTCCCTTGTTTGACTTCGGCATAATTTTAGTCTGTTCCCTTTTTCTACCAAAAGAGCACTAAGTGTTGTTTTTCCAGTGGTGCACGTTGGAAAGTTGAAGCTCCTTCTTTACCGATGAGACATGCGCGTGAAATTCACTCTTATGGTTATACTATCTTATTCGGACCTTGATACTCGGGACATTAATGCTGACCACGGCGATTATGTTTGAACTTTACTTAATTTCACCTAAACTTATTTTGATTTGGGTTTGTATTCATTGTAGCAGCCTCATCCAAAAGTTTCATGTTAAAGAATTGAGTCAATTTGAAATAAAACTATACTTGTTTGCATCCCCATAAAAAGTTTTCTTCATGCGTTTTTTAGCATCAAACCTCATTTTCCCTATGGTTCATACGATCCAAACATTACTTGTCCTAGGTTCTTCTGCAGAAACAGGAGTCACATTGAGCTCCGACCTCTAATGACATTTCTGTGCTTAGGATACCTCTCAAGGGGAAACTTTTACCTCAGTGCCATTATTGCGTAGACCGTCGTTTTTTATTTAATTCTTTGCCGCCTCAGAATAATTCATCTTCCCCGCGAACATGCCTAGACTCACTGGCTTTGGAATATGATCGAAGGGCACGCGACAGTTCGACCGTGAATTCGACGATGTCAACCGTGGGCTCCTCAGCGTGGTGTTGCACCTACACGTGCCAACAACGCGCCTCTTCCCACGGTCGGCATTTGTCACTGGAACGCAAACGCAATAACCTCCACCACG